ATTAGCTATAAAATGAACTTCTATGTAAGCTAATAAGTTGACATGCCCTATGGCTGTTTGTTATGAGTCAGTTAAAAATTGGAAGGTATCTACCCATCAATAAAGATGATTTGAAGTTTAAAAGTTGATCTTAAGCTTTCTTTTGTCAAGTGATGACAATAGGGCCAAATGTGTTTAGAACCTGTCCTAATTGATAGTAAAATTATGACATTGGCATAAAAAAATGCTTATCTTTCTATATTCTCTTATGTATATTTACCATGTATGTTTTGGGGAGCAGGGGAAGTGAACGAAAAAGCTTTGCTTCAGTCTCATTAGAAAGTATTACAGGACCAGTTAAGAGTCCATTCCAATCCACCTTGACTATGCTACTCAAGTATGTTTTGATTGAAAATTTACCTGTTCTGAACAAAAGGTTTTTTGGAAAAATTCATTTGCAGTAGTCCTCCTCATCCCCCTCAAAAAGGGAGAATAGGTAGCAAGAATTTTCAAGATTCTCAAAGAGGAATTTACCACCCAAGAGGCTTTCTTGTGTTTTAGAACCTCACAATTTTCACTTGCTCCTCTGTGGTATGTAGTAATCACAATACCCTAAGATACGTAAACATTAAAAAAGCATCATCATACTAAAAAACTATTGTTAACTGGGGCACCTGGGTGGCTCAGTCGGTTAAGCATCTGACTCTTGATCTCAGCTCAGGTCTTGATCTCAGGGTCATGAGCTTGAGCCCCACGTTGGGCTCCATGCTGGGTGTGGAGCCTGCTTAAAAAATGGGGAGGAAAACAAAGAAAAAAAAGGAAATTATTGTTAAACAGATGTGATAATGGTATGTTTGTGTGGAAAAAAGAACTCATTTATTAGCGATACAGACTTAGTTGTTTACAAGTGAGATGATAAGACGTCTGGGATTTCCTTTGAAATACTGTACTTCAGCACACACACACAGTGGGGTAGAGATAGAAGACATAAGATGGGCCTTGAGTTGTTAATGAAGCTGAATGATGGGTAATGCTACATTACACCATTCTCACTATTTTTATGTTATGTGGGGGAACTTTCCATAGTAAACAGTAAAATAAACAAAAGGCATGACCTTAGACAGAATTCGTTTTTAGAATGATTCCTTTGAGAGTTTGAGAGATATCTTAAGATGCAGAGTGATATAACAAAGTAAAACGTTTTTGCAAGTTTATGAGGTATAGGGGTAGATAGGAAAAAGTATCACTGATGAAATGCCAGTTAAAAGTGTACATTCACGTAACAAATCTTTGGGAAATGCTAAAATATATATTTCAGCAGTGACAACACCCAAGTGCAGTTGTAAACCTAAAACTCCAAACCAAACACAATTCAACCTCTATCTTGCCACTGCCTCTTCCAGTCCAAGGGAGGTGCGGGTGTCTGGGGGACAGGATTTCCTTAGTACACCTTGCAATTAAAGGCAACAGCCAGGAGAAAAGGGACGGAAATATAGTGGCTGAGCAAACGCTCCAGGGGCAAACGCCTGGGATCCTGGCTTTGTCACCTGTAGGCTGGGTCCTTTCCAAGCCTCGATTCCTCAAGTGGGGATGACAATAGTACCTACCTTAGAGGGTTGTTGGGAGCTTTAATTATAAAGCATGCACGTAAAGAACATGCAGCTCGTAACTGATAGGACCTGTTGGTGTATAATTAAAGACGGCGCGTTTGGGAAGCAGCTCCGGCGAGCTACGGGCGCCGGCTGCGAGGAAGGACTCCGCTCGGTCTCCACCCGCCCGTCTCCGAGCCTGGGCGCAGGCCCAAGGGATGCTCAGGCTTCTTTCAGTCGCCCGTCTCCGACTCCAGGTCGCTCTCCGCTCGGGCTAGGGTCCAGCCACTAAGCGCCGGAACAAGTCAGGGCGGCGGCTCCTCAGGTCCGGTCCCCGAGCAGGAACCTGCAGGGCGCGGGGACACAGATGCGTCCGCGGCGACCTCCACCCCAGCCGCGCCGAGGTTCCATCCGGGTTCTCCGTGTGGCTTCCCGCCCGCAGACGGTGTCTCCCCGCACGCAGGCGCATTAGCCACCGGCTGAGGCCTCAGCAGGCTTGAGTAAGGAGCATGCGCATTGGCCCTCTCAAAAAAAATTTTTTTTTTTTTTTTTTTTAATTGAGTACGTGGAGCGGGGAGGTTTCTTTTGTGTCGGCCGGGAAGGAAGAATCGTAGAATCCAAGGAATGGAAGGTATGGTAAAGTCCACATAGTTCTTCAGAGCACCGAAATAAATTTTGTAACACCCTAATAATTAGCATTTTCTATGTGTGATCAAGGAGTAAAGAGAAGGAAGCTCATTGTACTTCCAAGTTAAACACTGAGGCAAATGCGACAGGCTATAAACTCCATGAAGATACTCACAGTGGAGACGAGCTTCTAGAGCTTGCGTCTTCATGTCTGTGCAGATTATCTCTTTCCATAAATTAGAGCGTGTGGATGAATTTCCTCAGAATCACTTATTTTAGAGAAAAACTTCAATTTTATTTAAAATTCGTTTTAACATGATCTTAAAGTTACAAACCCATATTGGAGAGATTTTAGAGGAAAAATCCCAAAGTAGAAACTAGAAACTCGAGCATAGACCTCCTTCCTGTGTGGGGGGTATTTACTTCCAGAATTGTTACAAACTTAATGAAAGAACGATTTATTCATTTTTGTATAGTCTTGTTAGAAGCATCCCACAAGGTGGGGTAAAGGAGTAGTATCAAAGAATGTGGGACAGGGGCGCCTGGGTGGCTCAGTCGTTAAGCGTCTGCCTTTGGCTCAGGTCATGATCCCAGAGTCCTGGGATCGAGCCCCGCATCGGGCTCCTTGCTCTGCGGGAAGCCTGCTTCTCCCTCTCCCACTCCTCCTGCTTGTGTTCCTTTCTTGCTGTGTCTCTCTCTGACAAATAAATAAAATCTTGAAAAAAAAAAAAGAATGTGGGACAGATGCATCATTTTCAGGTGTTGAGGGTGAACCTGGTAGACTGAGGCCTGCTTAAAGTTTCTGTCAAAAATTGCAAAAGACCAGTCTTCCTAGTCCAGAAAGCAGGGTCTTAAATACTAGAAAAAGGAGTAGGCTTTAAGAGTCAAAGATACTTGGCTTTATGTCCTGGCCCTAACACTTTTAACTGTCAGGACTTGAGCAAGCTACATGGACTTATTAAGCCCATGTGCTTATTGTAAAATAGGGGTATTATCCATTACCTTATAAAGTTCTTTTGCAGAGATAACATACAAAAATTACAGTACATGGTTTCAGCACTCAAAAGGCAGCTATTATTGAGATAATAAAATCAAAGTTCACATAATGAACAGTGTTCCAGGTGTTATCTGTTTTCCAAAATGAAGCAGAAATAAGACATTACAGAGTTCTTCCTAAAATCAGTAAATTAGGTTTCACAGAAGAGGGAACAGAGAACCAGAAAAGTTGACACATTTTTTTGTTAAAGATCCTGAAATTTTCTAATTCAAAACCCCTGCCAGTCCCATAACTTATTTTTCTGCCAAATATTTGAAATACTACTACAAACCACTGTTTTCTCAATTATATCTTTATTAACAAAAGATAAATAAAATACAAAATAGACATCAATGTCAGACTTTATGTTGAACCACTCCATGTTAAGGTAGGAATATGAAAACGTTAAGTCATTGACTTTTCTTGGAATAGGTAAGAATGAGCTTTGTTTGCATTGCTGTTTTAATTTGGCACTCGTCTGAATCTAGATACTATGTGCATAGTACCTGACAATTTGTTACTCTCTCGCCAGCACAATTTCTTAGATGGTAACTTAATGCAGTATCCTAGTGGGTTTTGGTAGCTTAGAAGCCAGTGAGCTGTTAAAAGCCAATGTACTTATGTCAGGTGTTTGAAACAGGCTGTTTTCATTGATCCCACTCTCACTGTATTATCTTCACAATGTTCTTAGGAGAGGCCTGAGGATCATGGCAGTCTCAGTTATTAATAGCCCTATAAGCTATCCTTATAATTCTTTGAAGAAACCTTCAACTTCAGGTTTTGCTTTCTGCAATTTTTACAAAAAGACACCTTCTTGCTATAAAGATTAGGTACAATGGATATTCTACAATCTTTTAAAATTTAATATTCATGATAATTACATAAAGGCAATCACAATTAAAACAACAAATAGTATCACAAACCATATTCTCTATGATAGAGGAAAGAGTTTCTGTGTCTAAAGGCTCATGTCCAGAATGGTAAAAGACCTAGTACTGATCAATCAACAGTGACTCAAAGATGACAAAATAGTTATTTTTTCCATTCAAAGGCTAATCCATTTAGTTCTGGGTGTAAAGTACAAGGAAATGTTTTTTTTTTTTTTAAAGATTTTATTTATTTATTTGAGAGACAGAGAGAGAGAGCATGAGATGGCGGAGGATCAGAGGGAGAAGCAGACCCCCCGCCGAGCAGGGAGCCCGATGCGGGACTCGATCCGGGGACTCCAGGATCGTGACCTGAGCCGAAGGCAGTCGCTCAACCAACTGAGCCACCCAGGCGCCCGCAAGGAAATGTTTTAAAAATAAAAATTTTATAACCAAGTAGAAAACAGAATTATTACTATACAGATTGACATGGGGGATAAAGTCATTCATATGTTCTACAGATTTCCTTTCAGTAACTCAACACCCAACATAGAGTAATTTTTTTTAGCTTTAAACCAGGGAAACCTTAGAAGGCAAAAACAAATGATACTCAAATAACTACAATTATAGTTACTAGTAATTTGAAAAAATGAAACTGTGATTTTGAGAAAGAGTAACTCATCTGCCTTTAAAATGTGTGCTAACACTAGATAAAGGGCCATAAGAATTGAGGAAATAAAGTTTGAGACTTAATAAATGTTGAGAAGATGTTCTTGCTAGGTAGAGAGCCAAGGCCTCTTTCCACATCACCTAATATAAAACTGGAAATAAAATCTTAATACCACTTAATGTACTTCCTCTTTTTCTTCTTTGTTTCTTCAGTGTGTAAAGAAATGAATTTGCTATGAGACTTCCGGAGTCTTTATTAAAGTAGGCAGCAAGGGTTTTTCCACCTACAATCATCAGCGAGAAGCTGAAAACAATGTATCAGCTGTGTCTACCTTGGGTGACTGTCTATAACTAGTTACTACTGCCCAAGGAAGGAAGCCATGGGGTCATCTGGTCTCTGACGTTTCATTCTATAGGCCTCCATTTCCTCTTCAGTGGGTTCCCGAGTTTCATATATGCTATTGTAAGGCCGCTTCCTCTCATCAATCTGCATGATCTCCTTGACATGAAGAAGGCGGGCCTCCTCTGCATTCAGTGCCTACAGTGAGAGGGAAAACATGAGTACCACAGCTCTACATCAGATCTCTTCTGTTCTAAAGTAGCAGAATACCAAAAGACCCCACTGAATATAAATTGCTATATCAAAAACCTAGATCGTCTGAAAGAGCTTGAGCATCAGCCCTTCTACTGACGAGCTGTAACTAATCACTATTTGGCTGATACAATATTTTCATGTAGCACAAAACATTCTACCACATTTTCAATGTTAAAAAAATTTTACTTAATAACAAAGATTCAGTGAGATTCATTTTACTAACAGAAGTCCACAACTGATGCTTCTGGTGGAAACTACAATTCTGACTTTTCCCAAGGACTTGCTGAAATTTACAAATTATAGAGCTAAAAGGCAATTCTTTCTGGGCAGTCAATAACTCTAAAATAACAGCTTTACAAAACACATTTCTTCTGTACGTTAGTGATATTTATCAAACATTCCAAGAAGAAGGCAATACTGAGACACACAAAAATCTCCATTTACATTCTAGACCTGATACAAGGTAACCTAAACAAATCACCCAGACTTGGGGCTTGTTTCCTCATTTTTAAAATGAGCTTAGGGATAGGACTAGATAATTTCTTACAGTTGCTACAAATAAAGAATACTGTCATCACTTTGACTATTTAGAATTCACAAAGTACCTTTTTCAATTTTTCGTGTTTCTTTTCTTCATCATCACTATCTGAACTGCTCTTTCGATGCTTCTTTTTCTTCTTCTTCTTCTTCTTCTTATCTTCTTTTAGTTTTTCCTGATGCATCTGACAGGAAGAATTGAAATCTACAGTGTTATTAATGCAAAAACAAAGCTCTGGCGTAAATTTTAAAGTCAGCATTCCAGGACTTAATTCAGGACAAATGATTATAGACTTACCTCCATGAGGGTCTGAGGTTTTTTCACAGATTCTTCTCCGGTTATATCATTTATAATACATTCCTCTGAATTCTGTGGGAAAATATATGTAATTTGACTTGAGTATCATAGTTACCATCATTGAAGAAAAAGTTAAAATTTGAAACATGAGACAATATGTTTCCTACAGATTTTGACTTAAGAGCTTTGGCTGTTTTACAGTTTAAGAACTAGAAGACAATTACTTACAGCAATCTCCTTGCCGGCTTCTCCAGTGCAATAGGAATACTTGAAAAAAGAGTGACAGCATTTGTATCCCCATCGGCCTTCTTTCCAGTAAGATCCCCAGATATGCTGCAGAGAGAGTTGTTACTTAAAGAGGAATCTGAAACTGGGGACTCTCATTTACTGTTGAGATGAGTACAAAATAATACAGCCCTTTAAACGGTAATTTGGGAGGAAAATTATGGGGATTCCAGGGCTAGCTAACAGGGAAAGGGTGGTCTGACCTCAAGTGTAAGAAGCAGCCATTAGATTATAATGGTCTCACATTCCATTCCTAACACTGTAAAAAAATTTAGGATTATCTGACTTCTCTTCAAAAATTAAGAAGAACTGGGAAATTCTGGGCCCACAATCCCACTTGGAAAGAACTGGCTGTTGCTGACCAGTGGATGCCCCTTTTAGAAGGGTTTGTGCTCCCTTGTTTGTACAATGTGCCTGGCTCACTTCGCTCATATACAATTACTGGCCTGGCTCCTATAGGTAGTTCAGTTTTTGATCCAACTTAGACAACTGTAGTTTGAGTACTTCAAGAGTATAGAAATAACATATGTTTTATGATGTGATGCAGAATACATCATAAAAAAGTATGAATTATGAATTCTGCATTACATATGTTCTTGTCAAAATACTGAACTTACAACTAATCAAGTCTTTAGCTCTGAATTCCTGTTTATAGGAAATGTAGAAGATAAAGGAATAAATTGTATAGTATCACTAGGAATCAGAAAATCACAGAATATGACATGTTTACAAAATAACTGGCCTGATCTGTTTAAGAGTTGCTGTCATGAAAAAGGGGAGATAGAGAAAAAGAGACCTAACAACCAAAATGAACTCTGAATGGATTCTGACTCAAAACAAAAACAAACCACCTATTTAAAGGCATTTTTGTGTATACTTTAATAATGTGATTAAGAACTAGACATTAGATGATATTAAGGAGTCATGTCAATTTTTTAAAAGTGTGACAATGTTAATATAGTTATGGTAGGGAATATCTTTAATTTTAGGAGTTACATGATACAGTTTCTGTGGGTGAAATATCGTATCTGTGATTTTCAAATGTTTTAGTTAAAAAAAATACAAATATAAATTTTATACATATATTCACATGCATACACACACACATGCTCCAGACAAAGCATATATGGCAACATGCAAAAAATTTCTTAATCTAGGTAGTGGGTATGTGGGTGAACATAATAGTATTCTTTCACATTTTTTGTATTTTTGGAAAAATTTCATAAAACAAAATTAAAATGTAAAAAAAAAAAGAAAACAAGCACAACGACTTGCTAATGAAGTTGTAATAAGAAAATATAACCCAGAGCAAAATGCTAACAAGGACACCAAATGGTTCTGGTTTAGCACATACTGTGTGATTGTGGATCTTCACGTCCTCCTCATATTTAGAGCAGGCGACAGCCCGCTCCTGTCCTTTGATGACTGTCCCATGCCTTGAATACTCCACATAATCTTCAGTCTGAGCTAAAAGCAATTCAGCTGGAGGGGCATCCAAGTGTTCTTGGCCACCATACTAAAAGAACATTGAACATTATTAAATATATTTTACAGCAAAGATTTGCACTCAAATCTCTACTGATGGGTTTATTTCTAATCAGAATCATTAAAAGAATATTCATTATGGCCTTTGTTATACAAAATACAGTAAAAAAAAAAGCCATAAAATTTTTATAGGGAAATAAAAGATGTCTCCAGTTGCTATTCATCTGTCATGCAGATTACAAAATGGCCATCAATTCCTCTTATTCTTGTATGCATGCCCATTTGCCACATGACTTTGCTACTCTTCCCCTCGAGAGACAGTTTCTCCACCCTCTGAATCTGGGCCTGGCCATGTTACTTGTTGTTACCAGTTACCCTCTGAATTTGGGCCTGTGGGAAAGTGGCAAATGTGATGCAAGCAAAGCCCTGAAAAGCACTTGTACTTGGGACATACTTTTTGTTACCAGTGTCTGCTACCCTGAGAATGCCTGCTGATGCTGGACTAGCCTACCACAGGATGAGAGCCAACATGGGGCAGAGATGAGCTGTTTCAGATGAGGCCTCTTAGGATAATTAACCTGCTAACTGCTAGAGACTAGAATGAGGCCCTTTTGGATCATCCAGCTTCACATGGGCAGGCCCAGACCAGGAGACCCAGCTGACATACAAAATCATGAGAAATAACAAATGTTTATTTTAAGAGGCGCCTGGGTGGCTCAGTCGTTAAGTGTCTGCCTTCGGCTCAGGTCATGATCCCAGGGCCCTGTGGGATCGAGCCCCACATTGGGCTCCCTGCTCAGCGGGAAGCCTGCTTCTCCTTCTCCCACTCCCCCTGCTTGTGTTCCCTCTCTCGCTGTGTCTCTCTCTGGCAAATAAATAAAATCTTAAAAAAAAAAAAGTTTATTTTAAGCTACTAAGTTTTTCCATGGTTTGTTTTGCTGCAAAAGCTTCCTGATACAGCTATACCAATAATGTATACGATTAAATCAATGGGAGGGTAGGACTATTCCTAACAAATTAAAAGGGACTCTGTGTGTTGTATTCCAAATGTAAATCAAATGTTCATTACCTGGTCACTTCTCTTTAATGAGCATTCTTTTTTTTAGCATTTTGGTCAAAATTACCTTTTCCAAGATGCTCTCTTTCTGCTGTTCTTTGAAGTCTTCTTTTTTGACTTTGAAGGACTTGTACAACAGCTCTAGTTTTGTAGGATCAGCCTGCAGATGCACTTCAGATCCCTTGTCATAGGCTTCCCAAGCAAACACTATATTGATCAAAAACATCTTAATGAGTTCTTGGCTACATTTATTGCGTACTTGAAAACAAGCTTTTAAAAATGCCTCCAAATTTCTTTTGAGCTGATATAAAATATCTTGACATAGAGCAAACACTTACGCTGTGTCTGAGCCATGGAAATGGTATCTCCTGTGTATCTAACGAAGTTATCCCCTGCATAGCTCACTCTGTAAATGCAAATTTAAAAAAACAAATTGTGAAATTTCGTCTGGTCCCAGGAATTCAGCTAGATAGTTATCAAACCATTCAGAACACCTACAAACTCAACAGGAGATCGAAGAAAAGAATAGCAGCTACTCTCTGAACAGAAAAGCGACCACTTTCTGGAAGTTTCAGGGTTGTAATATCCTGGCAGAAAGGCACAATGTGGTGGCAAAAGAGTCAATTCTAGCCAGCTGCTGTAGATATGGCACCTTTGGGCCAGGTTTCCAGTTGTCAGTAAATTGCATTGTTGGTCCTCAAAGCAAGATGCTCAGCTGAAACGTGTGAGAGCTCCCATCTGTGGTTCACTTGTTTGGTGAGTAAGAGTCTGTTAACTACCCCTTCCCAGCTGCAGGCAACAATATATGCTAGGTATCACCCAGTGGGTCACCAAGCCTGGTCTTTTTTCCCCTCCACTTCAAATATTGCATTCCATCTATCTAACATCAGCTAGCCTCAGACTAGAGGATAAAGGAGTGAATGGAAACATCCCTGGAGACTTGGAGATTTGCCTCTGGTTTTGATGGGATAGTATTCTGAGGATTCACACATTTATTGACCTCAATGACAGTAAGGTCAACATGACAATGCAGTGTGTATTGATGTGCTTCAATTCAGAAATTGCTCATTTATCATTTATGTAAATAAAGCACTAGTCTTTCATCTTCCAATTATAACATGTTACTGAATTAATGTGATTAAAGATGAAGCTGGACTAATGTTAAAAAAAAA